TACCGAGACATTAGCATGCTATTAGCGTTTTATTAGCTATTATTATTTTTTATGCTTGTTATGAAGACAACGACCATAATACATTGAAACGACATTAACCTAAGATAATACAATAGTTAAGTAATTTTTTATGGAGAAAATACTTACATTTGTGGGTCCATTTGTGCCGTTTTTTTCTTTTTTTCTCATAACACTCCATTTGGATTGTGCCTCTGAAAAACCTACGTTTGGAGGGCCATGTAGCCCTAACACTTCACCCTACCCCTCCTTCACAACAAAAATTGGGACACCCTTGTGAGAGTGTACATGTAGACATGTAGGCTAGATGTTTTCGAAGGGTTTCATATGTGAGTCATTACGCTGTACCACTTAAAACAACAATAGCTCAGGAGAGAATTGGTGTCCAGTCAGACCAGCTAATGGCCTCACACTCCTCATTCTCATAATCTTGACCAGATCTACCATCTGGTGACCATGGGGAACTCAAAGGCTAGAGACACCACCCTTCTTGTATGTTTACGTCCTGTTTGTTTCAAATGTATTCACAGACCAAATTTGTCTCATGATCCAGCCATAAACATCCAATAAAAAAAACAAAAAAAACATTAGGCAACTTTTTCAACTTGGATTGTGATGTTAGTGATCTTCGCAAGTGAAATTCATCCGTATGATTTTGCAAGTCCTTAGTGCTGGACATGTCTCCAATAGGACTGTTTGAAGATGTGCTGGCCTGTTTCCAAAAAAGTTGTGACGATGTGCAAAATGTAAATAAAAACAGAATGCAATGATGTGCAAATCATTGTAACCCTATATTTATTCGAAAATAATACAAAGACAACATGGACAACTGGACTGAGAATAGTCCTCTAACCAAAAATATTCAGCCAACAGCGTCCTGTGACCAGTGATGAAGGACTAGAGGATGACCAACACAAACTGTGCAGCAACAGATGAGATACTGTCTCTGACTTTACATCTACAAGGTGGACCAACGCACAGTATTTAAAAACTCCAGAAGCACTGCTGTGTCTGATCCACTCATACTAGCACAACACACAGTAACACACTACCACCATGTCAGTGTTACTGCAGTGCTGAGAATGCTCCACCACCAAGATCATACCTACTCTGTGGTGGTCCTGTGGAGGTCCTGACCGCTGAAGAACAAGGTGAAAGAGGGCTAATGAACTATGCAGAGAAACAGATGGACTACAGTCTGTAATTGTAGAACTACAGAGAACAATGAGTGTAAAATCAAGGAGGTGGTTTTAATGTCATGGCTGATTAATATATATGCTGTCTTCTGTTTCCACAAAAGCAAAAGCCACTTGAGGCCTTTTTCCGACTTTGCTTGTGACTAATTATGACGGAGAAAGGTCTTTGTTCTCAAATGATAAGAGTCATGAATTAACTAGGGAGTTCCATGTGCCATAAATAAACACTGAATGTGTAATACTTGTACATTTTGACAACTTTTGTGATCAGGTCAGTGGAAATGCACTAAGTGTGATTAAGAAATTTTTATGTTTCTAGGGAGGGGCACTATAGCTCTAAAGGATCATAATCTGGGCAGGTTAACAGGCAAGGTGTGAAATACAGGGGGTCCTGGGGCGGTTCCATATTTATGATGTAAAGAATCCTTTAATCATGCAAAGAGTTCTTTGAGTGTTTATGGTTCAATTTAGAAACATTTTCTTTACTAAACAACCCTTAAAGAACCAGTTTTTTGAAGTGTGTAGTAAAAATATAGAGAAAATTGGACCCCTAACAGCTGTGCAAGACCTGGTAGACTGCCAAAACTGCACTTCAAGCTTTCATCTTTGAGAGAGAGGAGTAAATCAAGCTCTGTTTGCATCAGATCTGAAAAGATCCTCATTTCTCTCCATCTTTTAATTGTGACAATACAACTAAACTGAAGACTATGCGTCTGAAAGGATGCGTAGCTGTCGAGAAGCTCTTACTGAGGAAAGAAAATAGACAAAAAATAAGACAGTTTATACTAGAACACTGGTAACACTTTATAATAAGGGTACATGAACTGGCAGTAATTAAGGCATTTACTAATGAATAACTAATCAGAAAGTAATGAGTCATTAATCAGGAACAAATGAATAAGTCATATATTAACAACCACAAGACTAAATTACTAACGCATGTACTAATGAATGAAGATGAAGGTAATAAAGTTTTTATTCAGTGCCTGAATTTATTGGGAATTCATGTGTTAATTAATGTTGTCACAAGATCCCCCTGAGACACAGTGCTCTGGAATATTATGCCTATCAAAGTCAATTGTTTTTTTTTCTTTATAGCTCCATCCTCTCATCATCTTGTCCTTCTTCTTCATCATGTTGTGTAAGCAGCCCTTGTATTTGCCTGTTTCTATCTGTCAGGTCTTGAGTTTATTGTTTTTGATTTCTTATGTTACCTTGTCTGTTTCTACCCACCTGGTGACTGTTCAGTAAAATTAAAAGCTTACACTGACATTGTTTTGTAACTAGTCCTCATTTGTGACAGTTGCCATAGTTTTAATTCATCTTTCATGTTAATAATATGACGTTTTAACTCCTGTATTGATATACAGTGCCTCATGAGGGAATAGTTTAGCCTACAGTTACCACTGAACTCAGAAATGAGTTAATTATTGGAGTGTCTTTCTCCTGGGGTCATAAGAATCCTTAATTGTATGCACATTTTTGTGCTTTCCCAGATCTAGTACACCTGATTGAACTCAACTGCTCATTTACAAGCTCCTGTTGTGCTGGTTGAGGTGTGTCAGAGTGAGAAACATACAAAACTATGCAGTGTCAATTCTCAATTCACTATAAGAAAGCAGTGATTACTGATAATTCATGATGAATTCATAATGTTTGTGCCGCCTAAAGTAAAGTGATGAACCAATCACACTTTATTACTCATTAAATACTGATTCTTCATAATGAATTCATGTTTGTGCCCGTGAAAGTGATGAGCGAATCACACTTCATTACTGATTATATACTAATTCTTCATGATGAGTTCATGAGTTCATGGTTAATCATTTTACTTACTAAAATGACAGTCATTCTTTTGCCCTCTCAAGAACAGTGATTAAGGATAAGTAGCTTCAATATGGCTCATATGAAAACATGACATTGACGAAATTCACAGAAATAAAAAAGCATATTTTATTATCATCTTATGACTTCTACACAATACACAGAACTAGAGCAGGTGAATCTGTCACTGTAACACGGAAAATGAACAGAAACCAATACATACTGGTTCTGTAGTTCCACAAACATCTGTAAAACGGACAGAACTGCCAGCTAATTAAAGTCACAAAGATATTCATAGTGCAGCAGTGTTTCCAAATAACTCACACAAGCTGAAGATCGAGTCTGTGACTCAGCTTTACTGAAAAACTCAGAACGGAGTACAAAAGAAAGGGGAGAATACGGCGCTGGGTTAGACTCGGCTAAGCGCAGTTACCGCCCTCTCGCCGTCTCGGCTCAGTCTGTTTACTACAAGGCCCTGTGAAGCACTGCCACCGCACACACATAGCCCTTCACAATAAGAGTCCCTGTCAAAGGAGGAATAACATAAATTGCAAAATGCTGTGTTTCCATTAATAAAACATTTAGATATAGCAAATTTTTAAAAAGAATAATAGATGTATAACGGGAAACACATTTTCATTTTCTGAAGGTGGTATTTCTCAGAATAACTGTGGCATATATTAAGATAATTCACAGTTTTAATTAAATCAAATGTCTATTTTCAGTAAAGAAACTAGTTTACAGTTTATTAAACATACAACAGTTTATGTTTCTGTTGTAACAGTACGACATTGCAGTATGACATAGGTAATCATAAATTGCATGAATAGAATGAAACTAACAGAGCTTCTGGCAGTTCGCCAATGTGTACTAACATTTTTTTCGGGTGTTTAATTAACACATGAATTCCTAATAAATTCAGGCACTGAATAAAGCCTTCATTACCTTCATCTTCATTCATTAGTACATGTGTCAGTATTTTAGTCTTGTGGTTGTTAATATATGACTTATTCATTTGTTCCTGATTAATGACTAATTACTTTCTGATTAGTTATTCATTAGTTAATTACTTAATTACTTAATTACTGCCAGTTCATGTACCCTTATTATAAAGTGTTACCAGAACATTGAAACTGGACATCTGAGACGTGGAGTAAGATTTTAACGGCTGATGAGTTGAAATTTGGAATTGGGATAACTTGGATTGGAAGAAGAGAAAATGCGAGACAAAGTGTGGACACATTAAATGCTGATGAAAAATGAAAAGTTTGTGAAAGCAGGACAAATTTACGCTTTGATACTTGATAAGAGTCCAGCAATCTGAATGTATTGTAATTTCTCAAACATGCATGAAGCTGACATGAAGTATTTACATACAACATTTTCAAACTTTTCTTGGCTTGTACTGTCTAGAAAAGTGGTTTCCAACCCTGGTCTTGCAGTACCCCCTGTCCCACATGTTTCCGCGTTTCCCCTGCTCCCAACACAACTGATCCAATTATTCAGCTCATTAACAAGCTCTGCATGATTTAAAGTGGATGTGCTGGGAGCATGGAAAACACAAAAATGTGCATGGTACTCCAAGACCAGAGTTGGGAAGCTGTGGTCATGGGCCGTTAGAGTGTACTTAACCCAACCCAGCCTAGAGAACTCCATCTGAGAAACTGGCCCCCAAACTGATATCTGATTTTAGGCTAAACAACGAGCATAAGTTCACTTTAGCAAATGTGATTTCTCAAAAGTTCTTAACACAAAATATGTGAACATTGTAATGCTTTATTGATGTATCTATCACCTTTTAGGCTACTGTACTGTACTATCCCACACCAATTCTTGCTTTATGTTTGCTGCATTTCAACAAGCATGTTGCAGTTATGATGTTCTTTCAATACTCTGTTAGGCACAATAATGAACACAGGAGGATAATTACAGAAATCTGATTTTATTATTATTATTCAAAAGACAATTTGGTCCATTCCACCATTTTACAACAATGAAATGTGAGTACAAAACAAGTTTTAACATAAAACGTGTCAACAGCCCTACCAGCTGGCAACAATGTGCCAATCTACTGTCATTAAGGACTGAAAAGACCTCATTTACCATAGTAAAACATATGATACCTTATGGATACTTAGTATGCATGCAATCATGTTATTTAATAACAATTTGGACAGTGCAGTTCAGAAGAACTTCAATGACCAGTTTAAGCAGGCAAAAAGCAAACAAAAATAAGGAAAAAAAAATCACAAGAACCACCATGCTAATATTATGTAGAACTACTTCTCTTTCTCCTTGTGTAATGAACCCTTTAGTACTTTTAAAGCCAGTGTAAGTAGCTCATAAATAGTTCACAATAGTTCAATGAATAATATAAATCTGAAAATACATTTATAAATGCACAGTAATACCGATATGTGGTTAAAGGTGACAGTAGTATCACAGACGAGTGATTTCAAAGTAGTCGTGAATTTCCCTGCTGATAAGATCATGGTTGTCTGAAGCTATGGTAACTATTAGCACAGTAGAGTTTTTCAGATTGACCACTCTGCTTAAATTAATGGCCTGACGTGAACCGAGCGTACAAAGCATGGTCTCCTTCGCCTGTACGACATCAATCCAACCAGGGTACTCACTATGTTTCTGCTTAACAGCAATGCTCAAAAAGCAAAGAGTGTCTTCCTTGCCTTCCTCGTCTTCCGATTCTCCTAAGTAGTGCTTACAAGGACACGGCCCATAAGGCACACGGAATGATATTCTAAGGTTAACAAGGTACCAGCCGTTGCTAGGGATAACAAGACCTGTGTTGTTGTCTATCATTTTGAGTTTAGAGGATTCACGCCAACGGATGACATGGGTGTCATTTTTCATCTCAGTGATTGGATCCGGATGATGACCTGTTGAAACATCAGGGGAGGAAGGTAAAATTAGCCGTATTGATCACATTAACTTGGCATAATGCATACATATCATACATACACACAGGAAGGTTGCAGCAATGGTACAATATCACACTCACAATGACTTTTAGTCATTTATCCATTACCTGTTAAGTGGTTAAATGTTCAGTTTTTAAAATGTATATACACTGTAAGTCCAAAAGTATTCTACTCTCATTTCTATTTAGTGAATTCAGCCAATTCAAGGTGCACCCATTACATTACACACACACTCATAAAATGCCATCAAAAGGCACAAGGCCACCATGCCTAATGCAAAGTGTGGACTAGAAGGGCATAAAGCCCCCCATGCACTGAACTGTGGAGACTGAAACTGTGTCCATTCAATACCTTTGTGGTGAGTTGGAGTGACGTTTGTGATCCAGAGCTAATGATCAAACATCAGTACCTGCCCTCACTAAAGCTTTTTGCTGAATGCAATCTAATCCCTAGAGCAATGTTCCAACAATTCTGAGTATATTATCAGTACTTACAGAACACTGACCAACCACATGTATCATTACAAAGATCGCATAATTAGTCCTGTTTAATTGGATTTTGTGCAGTGCAGTATGAGAAACACTGAGTAAAAATCACTGTACTCAGCTATTGAGAATATCTGTCTTTAAATGTGGCACTACTGGTGCTTTTTCAGTTGTTCCAACCTATCACATCTTAGACCTCAAACTTTTGGACATACAGTGTACTATATAGAACCATGAACACTCAAAGAACACCTTGCATGATTAAAGGGTTCTTTACATCATGAAAGGGCTCTTCAGATTGATGGAGAATGTGCTGTACATGGTTCTACATAGAAGCTTTTTAAAAGTGTTCTATATAGCACCTAAAAGCATTCTTCTATTGTTACAATGTCAAGATTGTTACAACAGAAGAACCCTTTTTAGTCCTCTTTTCATCTAAAGCACATCTACAGCACACCCTATATCAATCTGAAGAACCCTTTCAGCTATTGAGTGTATCTGTTTTGAAATGTGTCTTTTTCAGTTGTTCCAAACTTTCAAACTTCAGACCTTAAACGTTTGGATATACAGTGCACTGTGTGTGTAAGTGTTAGAAACTGAGTGACTGAATTGAGTTACTTACTCAGCAGATGTACAGAGTGCACACGGTGTCTACCAGACTGTCCACTGCGTCGTGCCTGAACCAGACCTGCTGAAAAAAAAGAAGGCAAACCTTTTAGATAGATAGACAGATGGATAGATAGACAGATAGACCGACAGATAGATAGATCAAGATTACACCATTAAGGTATAAAATAAAGTCATTCAGAGTGGTTTGATGTAAAATTTGCTATTTTACAGAAACCTACAGAATTGTTTACAGTAGTGCTGACAGGAACCAGATGCCTGTTTAATTCATTTTAATTGAATGTGCCTGAGACATTGTTTTATAATGGTTGAAAGATAAGGTCTTTTTAAAACATGTTCATTAAGTCACAACTTTTTCCCCCTATTTACCACTATTTTACCATTACCAACATTACACAGAAAAAATAAAGACATGGTTGTTTTGGATAGTAAATAAAACGACCCCTGGTTCCTACCACCACCACTGTAAATTGTGTTTGAAGGTAAAACACACCTGTGTTTGTCACTGGCTGCTCACTTGGTGCATCCTGGAATGAATGGGAGACAAAACAGTTAGAAAAATGAACTGACAGCAATGCAAACTTGCACAAAGCGCCAGTCCAAACGGTAAACTCGTACGAGGACGAATTTGGCTTCCTATTCGAATTTTCCGTTCCACCTTAAACAGTGCAAGTTACACACTGCCGCCTGTACAGGCGCCAGAATAGAATGCTGCACGATTTAAGGTGGAACGGAAACTTCGAATACGAAACCGACTACAAAAGGCTACCTCAAACGTTTCAAACTCCGTTACCTTACTGCTCTGTCCTGAGACCTGGACGAAGAGGAAAGCGGCGAAGAGCGTAAGGAGCAGGAATCCAGTGGCAAAGCGGGAGCACGTCTCGTGTCGTTTCATCTCTCGGCAGTGCTGCATCATGAGGCGGACCATTTCTGCTCGCTCCACATCCTGAACGCCTGTCTCGCTGTTACTGCTCGCCGCCATCGCACAGACTCGTCGACTGGACTTCGGTTACCGACAACCAGCTGTGTTTCACTGACCCAGGCTTGCATTGTAAAGATTTATATGCACGGGATCAACGACCCGCCCCAACAGCGTCGTTCTTCCCACGCGTACTCCCACAAGCCCCGCCCCCTGCGCTACGATTGGCTAGTTATTTTTTTGCCTGAACTGTATACACAAAAATTCCACCAAAACACACTCACGTTAGAGACACATCAGACGCATACGTGATCGAAAACTATGAACAAAGCGACAAAACAAACAATTTCAGGCTTCCATCAAGATATGTAATAGTAAACAATGCTTTTTATCACTAAGACATTTAAAGGGCCTATATTCTACATGCTTCATGTATTGTTTTTTTTTTTATTAGAGCAATTTTACTCCTACTGTCTAGACCATTAATCTAAAACAAAAATACTCTTAGCAAAAAAAGGTTACATATGGTAACGTTACTGTTGTATGTCTTGTGCCTGTGTACCTGTGCCGTACAGAACCATTTTTCATAACATACAGCAGGTTTTTCATCACAGAAGAGAAGAATGCATCCCAACGGGATTCCCAACGCAAGGGGAAATCCTGACGGGATGACGTAAGGAGGAACAACGCACCGAGTGCAGATGCAGGTTTTGGGAGCGCAGGTCTGTACAGATATCCCAGTTTCGCTTTCTTCTCAGTTTAATTTCAGACGTTTCCTCCTCTGGCTATATTTGAAGCATTGACTAAGTTTGACTAAGCATTGACTAAGGAAATCCGGCCATTGCGTTTTCACTTAGAGGCGTAGAGAGTGATAGATTTCCATGTGGTCTTTAGCAAACGCAGAAACGTGTGGGAGAATACATGCTGGTGGTGTTGCACCAGCCCCCCCGCCCCACCCTAGCTTACCTCCAAGCGCGCACAGCTGCGCTCCCAGACACGTCACTTGTGAGTTCATGGATGAGCCTAATTTTTTGGGAGGAATATTTGCCTCACAACGCCCTTTATGTACCTCTCCGACATAAAATAAATGGATTTAAATACATTTTGAGACAAAACATTAACACAAAACTATTATAAGACAATGTCTTAGACATCAGGCAGAGCATGTCTAACCATTTCATGTAATACTTTTCTGTGAGGAAGAGGTGGACGTCACCACCACTGTGAACAATTCTGACTCAGTATGTTTCCATTTCACACCAAACCACTCTGAATGACCTTGTTTACACTTCCTGGGTGCCCTAGTGGTTAAAAAAGTGTTCTGAAGTGCCCTCTAGAGTAGTGAAAATGAGAGAGTGTCCTATTGGCTGCTCTTCACATTGGAAAAAATGATTGCGTACCATCTAGGATTCCCCATTATGCAATAAATTATGATGATGTGTCTTCTAGAGCAAGAAGATTTGACAAATGTCTTGATGAGTGCCCTTCTAGTGGAGAAAACGTGATACAGTGTCCTGTAATGAGCCCTTACAATGATTTAAATTTGACGTTCCCTATGGGTGCCCTTCCAATGGAAAAGGGTGTCATTATGAAGTGCCCTCTATTCCACCCCTGCATGACAGTGTCCCATGCAGACAGTGGCCCTTTCTGGTAGAGAAAATGGTGTTACCTACAGGTGTCTACCTACAGGTGTCTTTCTGATGTCCTTAGATGCCCTTTCAAATGATAAAACATGATGAAGTGCTTTTGCAATGGAAAGAAAAAAATCCCAGTGAAGGAAATGAGATATAATGCCCTACAGTGCCCTCTAGGGCAGGACTTCGCAAAGTAGGTGCCATGATGACAAGAGGTGCCACCAAATACTTTGATAAGATTTACACACTGTATGGCTGCTATAAAATCTTTTCTGCATTTTTGAAAGGGGCTGATAAGATAGGGTAATAGCATTTTGATGTAATAGCAGTTAGGCTACCATTTTGATGTAATAGTAGTTCAGCTAGCATTTTGATGTAATCAAAATGCCCATAGGACTGGAAAGATTGAGGTGAATTGCTGGGCTCTGCTGGCGAGCCAAACTTATGTATAGCTGGGACAACTGGTCCCAGAACAACAGCAAAGACCAACAAAGAACCTGACTGAATGAAAAGAATATTTCAGTCAGGTAATTTGCTCCACTGACATGCCAGCGGATTGTACGATGAAATGCACCAGACAGTTTCAAAAGAAGCATTTTGTCAGGAGCAACACAGTTTGTCCTGCTGCAGTCTGAGCTCTGTAACAGTAATTTCCACATTTATGCATCTTATCTTTGAATTTTATGAGAGATTGCCATGAAACTTGTGGTTAAAGATAGAGAACTGTGGTTAGTGATTTGATAAAAGTGTGTAAACAGTTTGTAATGAGAGAGAAGAGCACTGAAATGCTACACTGACACAAGTCAAAAACTCCTAAGCTTCAGATATTCTGACTTGTCTGCCAGCAAGCAATTGAGAAAAACTATATTATATAAGGGAGCAGAACTCAAGATCAATTTCCCTGTATCTATCAAGAATTTATGACATGTTGAGGCTCTGCACTCAAAAATGAAATTGCTCTGCTGCTGTTTTAGTTTTCTTTCTTGGGTTTGGCTTAACAAATGCATGTAGGTCAGGGAAACTGAGTTAGTGAAACCAAGATGATGGTAAAATAGTGGTAAATCTGAAAAAAAAAAGTGTTCTTTGGAGACTATTTTGCCTTAGAACACACTTCATATATCCCTCTTTCATAAATAGATTAAAATAAATTGGTTACAATACGTTTTAAGCCAAAACTTTATCCCAAAACTATAATCTCTCAGACATCAGGCTGCGTATTCCTAACGATTTCATGTAATAACCTTCTGTGAAAGAGCTTTTAAAGGCACCACAGTGAACCACTCTGAATGACTTTGTTTACATCTTAACCACTTAATTATGCAGAAATGTTGTAAAATCTGACCTCATTTAAGTGACATTGTCAGATGTACTTCATAATTGTTTGCTTTGTCAATTTAATCTTGATTAGTGAAATTCAACATATTTCCCATTTTCCCATTTGCTTCATCATCTATCTTTCCCCTGGCCTACTTTCCATTATGTGTGCGACTTTCTTATACTCCACAGTTAACCACCTAGCCATCTGATTGTTGGCTGTAAGTGCAGGCAACCATGTAACCTACCACTGAGCATATTTCTATTACAGCACAGAAGCACAGTATTAACTTGGATTATGTAGATCTAACTTAAACCTATTATCTTATTTATATTCTTTTTCTATTTCAATTAGTAGAACAGTAGAATTTTGGAGTAATATATATATAAATAATCCGCGTAGTTAATTAGAATGTACACAAATCACTTAAGTGTACTACTTTACTACTTTGAGTACGTTACTCAATCAAGCATTTGATTGACGTGACATTTTTACACCTAATGAGTCATGTGGGTATGTGAATTTAATCAACTGGCCAGAATGCTGGCAAGTCATGTGACTAAGAAGAAAATGATACAGTATAACCATACAATATAACATGACACAGACTGAATGAGTTGTATTCACTCTTAGCAAAATCTATCTCTGTCTAATAATAATAGAACCCTTTATACCACCATATATAAAACTTATATATCTTTATTGTCCAAAGAAAGCGTGTAGGCTATTTCCAAAATGGAAACTTGGCAGCCAAGGGCCTGGGTTTGATTCCCTGGCTGGGTGCCCAGGGTCCGTTCTGGGTGGAGTTTGCGTATTCTCCCCATGTCTGTGTGAGTTTCCTCCCACAGTCCAAAGACATGCAGTCAGGCCATGTCTGGACATGCTAAATAACCCCCAGATGTGAATGTATAAGTCTGGGTGTCTGCCCTGAGATGGACTGGTGACCTGTCCAGGGTGTTTCCTGCCTTCTGCCCAAAGGGGTTGTACATCATAGAGAAGAACCATTTAACCATCAAAAGAACCATTAAAGCATTCAAATGGTTCTTTCAGCTGTGATGGTTCCATATATAACCATTGCCTTTATAGACTGCCTCTACTGAAACACTGAAGAAACATTTTTAAGAGTGTTCTTTATGCTGAATTACATGTTCCATGTCCTGTATTCTCATACGGCATACACAAGTGTATATATACAGGGTTGGGATGTAATGGAATACAAGTATTGGGAATACCACATTGTATATCTGTATTCACGCCAAGCTACATTTTGTAAAAGAAGCATTGCGAATATAGTTACTTTTTACATTGCTAGGAGAAAACATTTAAATATATATACCATCTTTCATCTAAATTTTAAAATATATATATATCATCTTTCAAGGAAATACCATCGCTGCTTGTTTGTTAACTATTTTAAAATCAGCACGGTGTGTAAAGATACACTTTATAGTCAAATTAGCAAGATTTGGTTATTGGGATATGGCAAATTGTTGGCTTAGATCATGAAAGGGCAGTGGGATTATGGGAGCAGCAGTTGACTGGAGCAGGCAATGAGAGCTGACATAATGTTAATGCACGCTTAATCAACTTAATCATTGGACCAGGTGTGTTGGGAAATTACTGTAATGTGAGTCCGTGTTCTTAACGACTCACTATTTTTCCATTACAGATACTTCATCCATTTTGAGAGTCTTTTAGAAACATTTCTTCTGTGTTGTGGCTCACTTCCATTGTGTTGTGACTGGCTTTGCAACAAGTTGCATGTGTTTTCTTAGTTTGAAGTGCACTGTTAGAAAAGGTTGAAATAAGTGAAAATATGAAATGAAATAAGTCTGGGTGACATCTAACATTAATTAGCACAATATTTTCTAGTTAAACAAAAAACGTGATCATTGATATGTATACACCCCCCCAAAGCAAATACACGAGACCCACTGCAGCTTTGACCTACTTGCTATTTTATTTTTAGTGTATATGCTTTTTTTCGTATTACCAGTTTTTATGAAAACCTTTAATAAAACCACAAATATATTCATATATTAATATTGAGTAACCAGACATTTTTTAAAACTATGTTACTAAGTAAATTACACATAGCAGAAACAGTGGAGAATTTTAAGGCTTCCTTATAACTGTTTTAACAGTAAACCTGAAAAAAAACATTATTTGTACCTATTATTTATTGCCTTTGTATTGATTCTGTTTCTTGGCTGCAGATGGGAAT